AAATGTAAAAAAAAAAATTTTTTTTCCTTTATTGAATTTAGAGAGAGAGAAAGGGAGAGGGAGAGATAGAAACATCAATGAGAGAGAACATTGATTGGCCGCCTCCTGCATGCCCCCAACTGGGGATCAGGCCCACAACCTCGACATGTGCCCTGACCGGGAATCGAACCAGGGACCTCTTGGTGCGTGGGTCGATGCCTAACCATTGAGCAACACCAGCCGGGCCATTTTTAAATTTTTGAGGTGACTCCATTCTGCTTTTCACAGTGGCTGCATTCTCTCCAATAGAGCACCAGAGTTCCCTTTTCTCCACATCCTCGTCAACACTTGTTTGTTGATGTATTAATGATAGCCCTCCTAACAGCCAGGAGGTGATATCTCATTGCGGTTTTGATTTGCATTTATCTGATGATTAGTGACATTGAGTATTTTTTCACATGTCTATGGGCCATCTGTATGTCCTCTCTGGAGAAATGTCTATTCAGGTCCTCTGCCCATTTTTTAATCAGATTGTTTGTTGTTGTTGTTTTTGTTGGGGGGTGGTATTAAATTGTATGAGTTCTTTAAATATTTTGGATATTAGCTCCTTATTAGATATATCATTGGCAAATATCTTCCTACTTAGAAGGTTGTCTTGCTTCATTTTGTTGATGACTTTCTTAGCTGGGCAAAAACTTTTGAGTAAAATATAGTCCCATTTGTTTGTTTGTTTGTTTGTTTGTTTTGTTTCCCTTCAGGAGTTTTGTTTCCCTTCAGGAGAGAAGACATATGCAAAAATATATATATTATTAAGAGCAATGTCAAAGAGTTTGCTACCATGTTTTCTTCTAGGATTTTTATGGTTTCAGGTCTGACATTTAAGTTGTTAATTTATTTTGAGTTTATTCTTGTATATGGTGTAAGAAAGAGATCTAGATTTATTTTTTGAATGCATCTGTCCAGTTTTTCCAAACCATTTATTGAAGTTACTGTTTTGTCTTTTGTTCTGTTTTTTAATATGTTTTTATTGATTTTTTAGAGAGAGCGGAAGGGAGAGATAGAAACATCGGTGTGAGAGAGAAACATCTATAGGCTGCCTCCTGCATGCCCCCTCCTGGGAATGGAGCCCACAGCCCGGGTAAGTGCCCTGACCTAGAATTGAACAGGGACCTCTCAGTCCCTGGGATGATGCTCAATCCACTGAGCAACACTGGCCAGACTATGAAGAGACTGTTTCTTACCCCATTGTATATTCTTGCCTCATTTGTCATAAATTGACCATATAGATGTGAGTTTATTTCCAGGCTCTCTATATTGTTCCACTGATCTTTGTGTGTTCTTATGCCAGTACCATACTGTTTTGATTTCTATGGCCTTGTAGTGTAGTTTGATATCAGGTAGCATAATACCTCCCACTTTATTCTTCTTTCTCAAGATCACTTTGGCTATTTGTTTGTTTGTTTTTGTGTGTGGGTCCCTGAAAATTTTAGAATTATTTGTTCTATTTCTATGAAAAATGCATTGGTATTTTGATAGGGATTGCACTGAATGTATAGATTGTTTTGGGTAGTATGAACATTTTAATGATGTTAATTCTTCCTGTCCATCAGTATGTATGTTTCCATTTATTTGTATCTTCTTGGATGTTTTATAATTTTCTGAGTTTTTTACCTCCTTGGTTAAATTTATTCCTAGGTATTTTATTTTATTTTATTTTATTTATTTATTTTTTTATCCTCACCCGAGGATATTTTTCCATTTTTTGTACAGATAGAGTGGGAGGGAGAGAGAGGAAGGGAGAGAGAGAGAGAAACATCGATGTGAAGGGACACATCGAGTGGCTGCCCCGCACAACCAACCAGGGCCAGGGACAAACTGCAACCGAAGTACGTGCCCTTAGCAGGAACTGAACCCGGGTCTCTCTGGACCGCAGGCCGACGCTCTAACCGCTGAGCCAAACTGGCCAGGGCTATTTTATTTTTTGATGCAATTATAAATGGGATTGTTTTCTTAATATCGCTCATAGTTTGTTACTGGTGTATACAAATGCAATCAATTTCTGAATATTAATTTTGTATCTTGCTACTTTACTGAATTCATGCATCAATTATAATAGTTTTTGTGAACTCCCTATGATTCTCTAGATAGAGCATAATGTCATCTGAAAATAATGACCGTTTCATTTCTTCCTTTCCAATTTGGAGGCCCTTTATTTCTCTTTCTAGTCTGATTGTCATCACTAAGACTCCCAATATTATGCTGAATAAAAGTGGCAGAAGTGGCCATTCTTGTCTTGGTCCCAGTCTTAAGGGAAATGATTTTAGTTTTTCACTGTTGAACATGATGTTAGCTGGGGTTCTTGTATACGGCCTCTATACCCGGAGCTGTCTGTGTTCCCTCTATTCCCACTTCGCTGACAGTTTTTTGTTTTTTTATTATAAATGGGTGCTCGATTTTGTCAAATGTTTTTTCTCATAAATTATCCACACAAAAAAGAAGAGAAAGAGAGAATGTATTTAAGTTTCTGAGTCACATTTCTAGTTGGCAGGAAGGTGGAGGCCCAGATGACTACAGTAAATGGTGCAATGAAGGTAAAATCAACCGAATGCAGAACAGAGCAAATTTACCGGACAAATAACTTAGTGTTTTAAAGTGGCACACCAACAAACAGTGTGAGAGGGAGAGGCTACTTACTATAGACACACTCACGCGCGCGCACACACACACACAGCTGTATCAGAAGTCTAAGCTTCAGCCCTGGCCGGTTTGGCTCAGCGGTTGGAGCATTGGCCTGCGGACCAGAGAGTCCCAGGTTCAGTTCCCGCTAGGGACACGGAAGGAAGGAAGGAAGGAAGGAAGGAAGGAAGGAAGGAAGGAAGGAAGGAAGGAAGGAAGGAAGGAATTTAAGCTTCATATTCAAATCATATTAGGGTTTTAAAAGACATAACCATTATGTAATTATTAAAAACCAGGCTTGCAAACCATACCTCACTCTTAAGTAAGCACTAAGATTGTTGTTGAGACAAAATTAACCCCTGACTTCAAATATTTTACAAATGATCTGTGGAAACAGATTAATATATAAGTAACGGTGGAAGTGAAAATTACTGTAGACCCAAGACCCAATCTTGAAACTACAGCCCTGCAATCGAAGGTCTCTGGGCCTGTTTCCTCATCCAGTAAATGACAAGTACTTTTTGTTTAACACATGGGATTGCACAGCAGACTGAATTTGCAAATCTAGAAGTCTTCATGTAAAGGAAAGGAGTAATAGCCATGTAGTATCTGTAATAGTAACAAATGAGTGGAGTAGACAACACGCCCAGGTATTTGGAAGAGGGAATTTCATTTAGTTAAATGGCGTTTTTGTATTTTCTGGGAAGGTCAGAGCCTGTGTTCCTTCCAGAGTGACAGCCCAGGGAATCTTGCCATGTGATTCTCAGGGTCTTTCCCAGCCCCTGGCACTCTGCTTGCTCCATAGACCAGACAGATGTTTGCTACATGAATGAATGAATAGGAATAGAAGGCTAAGGCATGTTACGTTCCCATTGGGTTACATAGGCTCTGGATGGAGAGTTTTAATAACAGTGGGACAAAACTCACCCCTGAAGTGTCTATGTGGTTGATGCAAGGCACAAGCTACCTTGTTATTCAAGCTTTCATATCGGTTGTGTGTTTTTCCCTCTCTCCTCGATGAAGTAATTTCTTTTCTCTCTTAATATTATTATGTTCCCAATAGGGCTAAGGAATTTTAACTGAAAAACATGAGAAAATACTGTTCTCTATAAACACGATCTTTTGAATTTTTATTAAATATTGATTCTCTAAAATAAAGGAGTCAGTTATAATATTTTTTATCTTTATACATAATTTTTCTTAATTAGAAACATCCTAAGCTACTAAGGTACTAAATAGTCTTATATTCCTATAGCCAAAACCCATATATTGCCTCCAGCCAAAAGTTCATACTTATTCTTTCCATGAATCTTATAAAAATGATATAATTCTAAATTACAATTTCTATACCATACAGAATAGGCTATTTTAAAATGTCATGCATTCCTACGTAAGGGGAGAAAGTTCTTCCTTGCTTTCACAAGTTGATCTCAATAAATCACTTGCATCCCTGGGTAACAGCTAGGGTCCCCATTTCCCCTAAAAGACGAAAACCCACCAGCCACTTTCGGCCCTAGTTCACCAAAACGCGTGCATAATCCGTGCACTCGGGCCCTGGCTGCTTGTGGGGAAGGACGAGGCGAGGAGCTGCCTCGCCCGAGCGCTTCGCGTCTCCACAGCAGAGGGATTAGACACATGCGCACGGTTGGTCTCTTTGTGTGCACCGGAGGAGCCTGGCTGGGTCCACACTTCCTAACGGGGCAAGGACCCGGACCGCGAGCCCGTGCCCAGGAACGAAAATGCACTGTAAACACAGCCTTTGCAATACCCAGTCGTCTCCTCTCGCTTGCCTCTCTCCTGGGAAGCACCCCGCTGCCCTTTCCCGGGGTCCGGTTGGGAGGGACGATCAAGAGCCCGGAATGGAATGGGGAGCGTGTCCTCAGGAATCCGGCGCCGAGAGCGCTGCAGGCCCGGGAGCCGGTGGGAGCAGCGGGGCCCCGGGGGCGGGAGTGATGGAGCGAGGAGCGCGTCTGGCCAGTGTCTCGGAGCCCAGCCACCCCGTGGGCCGGGAGGAGGGAGGCACGCGGGCGACTCGGCCCGCCCCCCGCCCCTCCCCTCCCCCTGCGCCGGGAGCCTCGATGGTGCGCTGCGGCCAGCGGTGCGCTGCCGACAGAACAGCCGCCTGTGGGAGCCGCAGGGGCGGTGGGGCGAAGGCGGGGACCCGCACAGGAAGGGCAGGCGCTGCGCTGCGCGCTGCTCCGGGCGCCCGGCTGCGTCCCGGCCGAGGCCGCCCCGCCACCCAGCCCGCGTCCCCGCCGGCGGCAGTTCGGGGGCGCAGGGCGGAGGCGTGCTGCTGGAGGCGGCTGGCTGGATGCGGGACCTGCGCGGACTTGGCTGCGGACGGCGGCTCCGGACTCGCAGAAGCCGAGCGCGCTGGCATGGCCTCCAACTTTAACGACATAGTCAAGCAGGGCTACGTGAAAATCCGCAGCAGGAAGCTGGGGGTGAGTGGCCCGCTCGGCTTTCTCCTTCCCCTGCGCCCGCCTGGCGCAGCCGGCGGAGAGGGGGCGGGGAGAGGTGACCCGCGCCGGGGACGGGGGCGCTCGGCCCGGCCTCCGGAAGACGGGGCGCTTGTTGCTCGGCGGTCCCGGGCCTCACCTGCCCGGAGCTCTGCTCTGCACGCGGGCCGAGGGCTCCCGGAGCGCCTTGGTCCCCATCGCCCTGCGCGCGGGGCTGGTTTGGTCCCAGACTGAGAAGTCATGTAGACGACAGGGACTGTCAGGTCCGAGATGAATGTGCACCGGAGGATGGTTTCTACACAGTGACACCCGCCATGGTCTGTTCTTAAAAGTGTGCGCCTGTCGGGTAGCACTGCTGGGTGGCAGGAGGTGGGCAGACCCACCGGTGTGTGTGTTTAGAATCACCATTTTCTCGTCCCCGCTTCCCAAGCACATTTCAAAATTGTCTTGATGCCCAAGCAGCGCCGTGGGTCCCCGCCGCTGCCTGCCCCCGAGGTGAATGCGCCCTGGGCGGTTGCTCGCGGTCTGGCTCCCGGGCTGTGTGTGCGCCCGGACCCCTGCGCCGGCGCCCGGGCAGGCAGGTGTGTCTGGGGCGCTGGGGCGCTGGCCCCGGAGCGTTCGAGACGGCAAAGTTTCCGGAGACCTTTTCGTAGCTGTTTTCTCGCAAGATGCTCTGTCTGACTCGGGACCAAAACAGTGTAGACCCCTGGGGTTCAGAACTTCTCTCGTGACTGGAGAGGAGGTAAGAAGGCCGGTCCTGGAGGACCTGGGGTGTGGACAGGAGGGGGCTGGAGAGGCGGGGCGGCACCTGAGCAGAAAGCTGCCCAGACCTGGGGGGCAGGAGAGAGGTCGCAGCCACTTGCACTTGGTCCCCTTGGTGGAGGTGGGCACCGGAGCCCGACCTGCGGCCAGAAGCCTGAAGGGTCATGCCAGCTGGGGGGCAAAGATGCCCATTTCGGGGGTTCCTAGGATGTCAGTCTTCACTGTTCTTAAAGTTCCTAAAGCTCTGGAATCCTGGGGCAAAGCGGCCTTGGACAAGAAAATTCCGTGCGTTCCCATCATAATGGAGGAATATTAATCCTGGAGAGGGGGAAAGCATGTTATCACTAAGGAAAAAAAGAAAGAAAGAGCGAGAGATGAATGTATCTTTAGAAAACCGAACTAAGGTAGGGCAGTGTCCCTAAAAGAGGAAGGATCACCAGGTACCCAGAAGTCGTTTTGTGGGGAGTTGGTAGACAGGCCGTTGGAGGCAGGGGAAAAACCCACTTGCCTTGGGTTTCATGTTCAAGATGCAGGTTGCCCCCCAAGGGTACAAGGGGCCCGTTCTGGAACTTCAGCAGATCAGAAGGGGAAGTACAGAGCCGGGTGACTACAGCCCCTCCCCCAGCCTGGCGCCAGGGATGGGGGTGCAGATGCTCAGCGGGGTTTCGGAGCTGCTCTTGGATGGAAGAAGGCGCCTCGGTCTTTCTCGGAGACGAGGAAGAAGCCACGTGAGAAGCTGCCGTGGTCCGGGAAGGAGGCCCATGGCTGCTCGCAGCCGGGACGCAGTGCTTCCATCTGTCACCTCCACGGCGTCAGCCAAGAAAGGACGTGCGGGGCTGGCGCTGGAGGCGAGAACCATTTCAGGAACTTGACCTCTGAAGCCCTTCCCTCTCCCACGTGGTGCTTATTCATCCTTCTTGCTCGTCCGTGTTCTTGGAACCTCAGTGGTGTCTGACACCTCAAATGTTACAAGCTCCTGGATGATTGAGGGCCCCCGGGGAGATGTGTGCTTCTGCGGAGTCACCGTGCCCGTGAAAACCACACCAAGGAATACAAGGCTGAGAAGGCTCCTTGCGCACTTGGCCCTGGGACCTGACGGATTCCTCCCCCACCGAGCTTTCCAGGATTAAATACACTGAAAACTGAGTATGCAGCCCAACGAAAAGACAGGGCGCGAGAAAAGGACGTGGAATGCTTCTGGGGTAACTGGGCAGTGTCAGCCTTTGAAACGCCCTTTTAGAATTCCGTTTCCCCTAAAGAGGAGTGACCCTGTCCGCTCATTACATGTCCAAGCTGCTCTCGCTGTGCACAGCTGTGCCTTTGTGAAGGACAGCCTTCCCGGAGCCCGTGGAAGCGTCTGTGTGCGCAGGTGAATGAGTGGCCTTTGTGCTCCATCTCTACCTGGGAGGCGTGAACTCCACAGAGGTCGGTGTGGAAGCAGTTTCTGTTGTTGTTTTGACCTTAAAATAAATTAGCCTTGGGGAAATATTATTTATTTTCTTTAAAAAAAACTTTAGAGATGCTTCTATTCAGAAGGTCCTGGTGTTCACAAGGGTGAGTTCAAACGACAGAACACACAGGGTTCCGTGGGGAGCGAGTCCCACCAGATGATAAAACTGGAAGCAAGTATTGTGTGCCTGAAAAACCGAAACGTGTAGTCATGCCCCGAATCACAGACATGGGAATCACATAAGCATTGTCCATTTCCATAGTTAATAATTCATATCACTGATTTTGTGGACTTAGAGCTATGGGCTTGCCCAAATAAATTATTTTTAACTCAAAAGATGCATAGTGATGGCTTTATGGTTCATGTTCAAAACTAAATTTCAAAATAAAAGTGATTCTAATGGCATGTGCCTAGATGTTTGATGCCTTCTGCACAGAGCTCATGTTTTGAAAACCTAATTTATCCCATTCTAATGGGGGAGAAAGGCCCAGTCGGAGGCCAGTTGGATCAGAGGTTATGACATGAAAACATAGGCTGAGATGAAATGTTCTCAAGTGCCATTCACTCCCCACAAACTAGTGTTCAGGGTTGTGCTGAATGAGGGCAGAAAAACACTTCTTACCGGAAGGCAGTGGGCTGACCCTGACCTAGAGCCACACAGGAAGCAGTTGAAGGGACCTTTCCATCCATGTGTCCTAGAGGTCCCCACGCATCGAGGACAGCTCCTCAGCTGACCCTTGGGGTGAAGTAGAAGCGTTAGAAATCTGTTTGAATGTTTGCTTTGAAATTTGTCTTCAATCATGAATCAGCTTTTCTTCATTCATTTAAGAAAATAAGTTTGAAGGGGAAAAAATAGACTCATGTTCCTGGATTTTATTTTTGTCCTTGAAAAATACGTTTATGAAATCACTACAGTTTTAAAGGTGTCAAATCATTAAAAAGTATAAGGCCAAAACTCATAGTCATTTCTTGAAGTTCTGCATTCATTTTTCATTCTAACACATCACTGTTTCTATGAATGCAGGGTGGGGCAAAAGTATGTTTACAGTTGCGAATACATAAAACGGTTTATCCTTATATTTATTATTTATGAGCTATTGTGTTATTTTCCACATGAACCGCTGTTAGCCTGCTTTTGCCTCACCCTGTAGGCAACATGCTGGGTTACGTAGACCCCCGCCCTTCTACCCGCTGACACTGGTATTTCTAAGCATCAGACACTGACTTGACTCGCCACAATGAAGGAACGTCCTCATTTTTGGAGTATGTTGTATTTAATGTCATCTCTTTGCTTTGGAAAAAATATGTTGCTGTGTTTTGCATTTGATACAGTCGAAGGGGGGAGGTACAGTACGATTTTAACCCAGAGCAACTGCTTGTTTAAAAGTTGCTTTAGTCTGGCAACAGGACGTGCATGGGTTGATGTGCATGTGGCCACCGGCACCGGCGTGGAGGATGCCAGGGTGGTCGTGCTTGGCAGCACCTGCTTGAAGGCGCCAGGCCACCATCCTGCCTCGCACGGACCTTCTCCTCTGCGCTGGTCAGCTCTTCTCTGCCAACTGTTTTAAATGTCACTTCAATCTGTGTCCGATACCAGGAGCACAATACTATGACCTGGGAGACCCTGCACTTCTAATCTTCCATTATATACATCTCACCAGTTTCCAGTCCTAAGTAAACTTCATGTGCTTCTAATGTGCCACATGTGTGTGGGAGGGGCAAGGGTCCCCTCACTGTGCCCCCTCCTTCCCACCGCGTCTTTCACTGACTCCCCTTCCCCCCACTCTCTGAGCCCACCAGAATTCTCCCAATGGGCTGTTTCTTCACATCGTCTTCTCTTTCCCTTATAATCCTTATTTAGTCCTCAGCCCTACGGTTGAATTCCTACTTCTCAAACGTCTTCCCTAAAGTAGACGTTTTAAACTTTTCGTCTCCCCTCCAGTCCCCAGATGTGGGTGCCTAAGCTTCCAGGAGATGTTTCCTGCTTGAGTCCAAATGGAACACACTCTTCTTCTTCCCAAACCAGCCACTTTGTCACACAGGAACATGTGTAAGTAGATGTTTCTGTTAGCCTGGCCACTCCCTTAAAAACAATTCCGAAGCAGATGGCAGAGATGGTACTGGCTCTTCCCTTCTCTTTTGTCCGCACACAGTCCGAAGCCACACCGTTTGGCTGCCACCTGGGGGCATCACCGGTGGCCTCTTTCCAGTTGAAATTCTGCTTCCGTAGCTTTATTCCGCGTTTGTAGTTTTCGGTGTTGATGGGACTTCCCAATGGTTCTTTTTACTGCCTGCTCAATTCCCCTGTAGTCCTGCCAGAGCAATTTTCCTAAACTTCAGTTTGAAATATGTAATTCCCCCTCTTAAGTTTTCCCATGGTTTCTCATTACCTAGAGTAATAATTAAACTTAAACTTGTAATTCAGAGCTAGCCACAATACCTCCCATTGTTTCATTTAGGGATTTTTAAATTATGTAATATATTCAGTGTACTGGAAATTACACAGGATCAGATTACAGACTACCCATATTTTACCAATATTAGCATATTACTTTCTTCTGATTTAAATTTTTTTTAAGATAGAAAAATGCTGAGAGTTGAAAACGCATCTCTTGCCATTCAACACACACCACAGCTGTATTCAGTATTTATTCAGTATTTATCTGTTACTATATAGATCAAGTTGTTCGTTTCAATGGGTGTATTGTCTGGTATCACATGAATAAACTGCACTTCCTCTGTTAGTGGACATTTAATAAGGTTTTTCTGTTGG